TTGTATTGCCTGATGAACAGTTTATGCCTAGCTAACACTGGGCCACAACAGCATACAGGGACAAACACTGTAGTGAGCTTCCTGAGAACACTCCCCATGGCAGGATTAAAGTCATAGTCAAATATAAAGGCAGCTTTTAGCAGCTAAATATGAAATACTTTCTCATAAGGTGACTATCCGCCCCGTTTTTACTGGGACTGCCCTATTGCCTGATGAACAGTTTATGCCTAGCTAACACTGGGCCACAACAGCATACAGGGACAAACACTGTAGTGAGCTTCCTGAGAACACTCCCCATGGCAGGATTAAAGTCATAGTCAAATATAAAGGCAGCTTTTAGCAGCTAAATATGAAATACTTTCTCATAAGGTGACTATCCGCCCCGTTTTTACTGGGACTGCCCTGTATTTAAGCTGCCTCCCAGGCGTCCCGACTTTTTTTTTAAGGGGGCAAAATGTCCTGTGGTTGCATGCCCCCTGCTGGTGCTTTAATTCCCCCAGTCAGGGCAGCGGCAGCGGCAGCCTCCTATTTGTGGCTGGTGGTAAAGCAGGCACCAGCATGTGGTGTGTGGAGTCAGGCAGGGAGCCGAGGAGGAAACAAGGTAGTAGCTTCCCTCTCTGTGCACCCTAAAGAAGGAGGGAAGTCTGCCAGCCTTTCAGGAACACAGGGCTGAAGCCCCAACCACTGGCACGCCACCCCCCAGGGCTGAAACCCCTTTCCCATAGGGAAATATGGTTCCTAGGCGAGCCCTAGCCACTGCGGGGCTCAGACTGATTCCCGGGCAGCACCCTCCTCCCCTTTCTTTCTACTGTGGGGCTGAAGCCTTGAGTGCCGGTGCAGCGACCGAAACACTAACTTCTCAGAATTTGTGACTTTGGGTGCACTGAGCATGCGCACCCGAACTGAGCAAACTCAGTATCCCTGAAATTGTGACGGTCACAAAAACGGAGAGGTTTCACTTTTTGCCTATACACCGGCAGCCTCCCCAGATTGGTGTCCCTTATTGAGCATAGGGAAATATGGTCACCATACTTTCTTATCATGCGTTTAAAAGGATCTGGGGGGGGGGGTGTTATCATTAGCATTATAGCGATTCTATGAGCTGCAGTGTTCCTATCCAGGTAAAATTCTCTGTTTCTTCCTTTCTTTTCCTTAACAGGCAAAGACTGCAATCCAATCTCTAAGAGACAGGCACCAAAAAAGACCAGGAAATATACTAAGAGCTCTATTGGAACGATTTGATAAACATCAGAAAGATTATTAGAATGTTTAAATATATTGAAACATTTACAACATTGGGTGTAAAAGATCTTTACAATTGCATGTGTTACTGTAATTTGTGATTTCTTTTAAGAGACATTATCCTTAATTCTTCAGTAATTATTGCTATGACTCACCTCATGTGCTCTGGTCACAAACAGTAAATTTCCTGTCAGCAGAAACAGGCTAAAAAAAGGCTCTTTTGATGCTGATTTCCCCATGGAAAGTAGATCACTTCCCACTATAGTTTGTTTCCCCCCTTTCCTAAAGGCTTGTCTACTCGGAGCCTTTTTCGATTAGCTCCACTTGTGTATGCTCTATTTTGGAATAAAGGCCATCCTTTGTTCCAGAATAATTTGTATGCCACATGCTAAATAAATGTGCTAAGCAGGCTAAACTTTAGCAAGATAGTTTGAAACAGTACTTGGTTGGCTGGAACTCTTTTGTCATATTATTCCATTATTACCGTTGTAATGCCTTTTATTGTGATGTTGTAATTTATGTTGAAGAAAATTTTCCTTACTGTGAATTTCTAGTTTGTAATGTATTTGTCTTTGACTAAATGTGAATGGTTAGAATTTAAGCAATGAAAAACAATATGTTTATGCAGAAATGGCAAGAATCTTAACTACATACTCTGTGTGTGTTTCCAATCAAAGGAAGTCGGGTACCTATATAATGACAGAAAATACATTAGACAAAAAATATACAATTATCTTCTTGGTCTATGGAGATTTCACCTAAACATGAAGGAATGACAACTACCCTTACACTGACCTGTCAAAATAGTTATTAAAACCAGACTTTTAATTTTAATATTAATTTTTAAAAGTTATCCACTACAAAGAAGACTGTCTTCTTATAGCTCAGATCTGCATTCCTGTGTATCTACCCATGAGTGAAGGAGTTTGGGGTGGGAAAGAAGGAAGATTACTGGCTCGATGTTCCATTTGTCATGCATTTAAGACAAAGAAAATAGTTTACAGTGTTTCTTTCCAGTTTGTTATCAAACTTAAATGTGCAAATCATTTATAACCTGCTTTTGTGCACAGAGAATCTAATTCTTGTTCATTACAAAATTTAAATATACTACAGAACATCAAACTGTTCCTAAAAAAAGAAAGATTATCTGAAAACATTTTGAAATAATTGTGTATTTGTTCCTTTTTGCTTCTTTGCCTTATATACAATTTGAAAGAGTTAATTTTACCAAAACCAGTTTGGATGTCTTGAAGAATTGTTGTTTTTTTTACCCTAGAAAGCTAATAAAATAGCAATTATGATTTTGCTGGAGAACTTTTTCAGAATATCAGATATATAGTGTGAGGGGTACATGTGCCCTGGCTGGGACAAATCCAGGTTTGTCTGTCCATTGCATTTCCCAGCAACAGTGAGGAATACAGCAAATGTTGTACTTTCCCCTCACTCCTTGACAAAGAGAAATAGCCAGCAATGATCCGCCTCCCCCCGCCACCCTACTTAAAGGGTGCCTGGGGGGTAGGAGGCTTGGTGTTGAGGCAGTCCTGGACAGGAGATGGGAGGGTGCCCCCAGTAGCCAATTTCACCTGCCCGGTGATTCTCTCTCTTTTCTGTATGGTTTTATCAAAAGCAATCCCATTCTAGGCACATCACATTTTCTTGGCTCAACGAAACCCTTACTTTGCTTTAAGTTATAACAAGAAGCCGTATACCAAATTTGGTTGTCCTAGCTCTTGCCCTTTAGGAAGAGGTCTTGAACAGACACACACACACAAACTTTCTCATATACAGTAAAACTCGAGTTGTTCGGCATCCAGTGGTCCGGCACTCCCGATAGTCCGGCACCAACTGGAACCCGGAAGTGCTCTGGCCAGCCTAACAATTGGAGCTGCTCTGGCCCCAGCTTCTTCAAGTCTGCTACTGGTCAATTTCAGCAGCAGCAGACTTGGGGAAGCTGGGGTCAGAGCAGCTGGAGTGCTGCCCACGCTGCGCAGTTCCCCACCGCTCCCTCCCCCCAGGTCCCTCATAGCCCCCCTTCCGGTACTCTGGCATATCCAATAATCTGGCACCTCCTGGGTCCCAAAGGTGCCAGATTATTGGAAGTTTACTGTATATAGTAGGTGCCCCTCCCCCACTACCCAGTAAAGACAAGGCTTTAGAGATGTCAGGCAGGGCTAGCTCATGTGAGAATGGGAGTTAACTTCCCTAATTTTTCTTTCCTCCTACTCAGCTCAGTAACACATTCTATTCCCTAGTGGTTTCATTTCATCAGCTACAATAAGTCTGTTTCTACCCAATTGTGAGCAATGAGGGAGAAGCAAGGAGATAGCAGATACTTTACAGGGGCAGAACAATTATGAAAAAAATAGCCTGCGGATGGCTGACCATACTATCTCAAGACAGTTGAAAGTGATGTATTTTATGATCTATTTAGCCTGAGTTTCTACCTTATTAGTGTTGAACCTTGAGTTAGGCTTCATGCATGGGCAACTAGTGGCTTAGCTGGGAGAAGGCTCTGGCTTCCCAAACCGCCGGCATGGCCCCACCCACACTCTGCCCCCAGAACGCCTGCTGTAGGCATTCTTGGGGCAGAGTGTTGCCCTAGTGCTTGCCCTCTCTGTGCTCTGGGCAGCTCAGGCCCAGCTGTTGCCTCCCTTCCCGCTGCTCCTGGGGAGGGGGAGACTTGGGTCAGCTTGGGCCACAGTTGTCTCTTTTCCTGCTGCTCCCAGGGGCAGGAGGCTTAGCCCAGCTCAGGCCGCCTCCCTTCCCACTGTTCCGGGACCAGTGAGACTAGAGCAAGGTGGCCTCCTCCCTCCCCGCTACTCCCAGGGCTGGGGAGCATTGGGCTACACTGCCTCTTCCCTTCCCGCTGCTCCGAGAATGCTGGAACAAGCACACTCTTCCCTTCCTGGTGGTGGAGGGAGGGATGGGACACATTTGGGCTACGTCTACACTGGCGTGATCTTGTGCAAAAACTCTGTAGCACAAGAGTTCTTGCGTTAAAGTAGTTGCGCAATAGAGCATCTACACTGGCATGTGCTTTTGCGCAAGAGCATCCTTTCCAGTGTAGACGCTCTCTTACTCAAGAAAGCTCTGATGGCCATTTTAACCATAGGGCTTTCTTGCACAAGAAATTCATGTTGCCTGTCTACACTGGCCTCTTGCACAAGAACAGTTGCGCAAAAGGACTTATTCCTGAGTGGGAGCATCAGAGTTCTGGCGCAAGAAGCCGTGATATCATACATTAGAACGTCAGTTTACTTTCACAAGAACACGCGGCCAGTGTAGACAGGCAGCAAGTTTTTGCGCAAAAGCGCGCCAGAGTAGACACATTGGTGTGCTGCTCCTCCTCCTCTGCTCAGTGGGGGTGGGGCAGTAGGTGAGGTTTGGGGGACTTAGTGTCTGCCATGACTGCTAGGAAACTGACAACTACACACCACCTAAATTAGTAAGAGATGACATTAAGATGCATCTGTTTACCAGGCGCTCCCAGATGCATATGCTGCTGCCTGTCTACTGAAAGTCTACACTTGCGGCTTCTTGCGCGAGAAATATGCAAATGAGGCTAAGCGTGGAATATCCTCGAGCCTCATTTGCATACCTAATAAGCTGCCATTTTTGCATAAGAGGCTCTTGCGCCAGGAGCTGTCTACACTGCCCCTTCTTGCGCAAGAAAAACCCTCTTGCGCAATGAGGTTATTCCTGAAAATAATCAGCATAGCAGCATAGTGCAAGAGGGTTTTTCTTGTGCAAGAAGGGGCAGCGTAGACAACTGGCACAAGAGCCGCTTCAGCAAAAATGGCAGTTCATTAGGTATACAAATGAGGCTCTGAGCTATTCCACATTTAGCCTCATTTGCATATTTCTCATACAAGAAGCTTTGAGCATAGCCATAGCCAAAGAGTATAGTATGCTTTCCTCTGAGTGCTGGCCTAGTATGAGCAGACTAGTGCTGCTGTCACCTTGGGATTGTCATTGCAGTAAGTAAAAACTTAAAACAACAAATAGTCTAGTAGCACTTTAAAGGCTAACAAAACATATTGGCTACGTCTAGACTGGCATGATTTTCCGGAAATGCTTTTAACGGAAAAGTTTTCCGTTAAAAGCATTTTCGGAAAAGAGTGTCTAGATTGGCACGGATGCTTTTCTGCAAAAGCACTGTTTGCGGAAAAGCGTCCGTGGCCAATCTAGCTGTGCTTTTCCGCAAAAAAGTACCGATCACCATTTTCACGATCGGGGCTTTTTTGCAGAAAACAAATCTCAGCTGTCTACACTTGTCCTTTTGCACAAAAGTTTTGCGCAAAAGGGACTTTTGCCCGAACGGGAGCAGCATAGTATTTCCGCAAAAAGCACTGATTTCTTACAGTAGGAAGTCAGTGCTTTTGTGGAAATTCAAGCGGCCAGTGTAGACAGCTGGCAAGTTTTTCCAGAAAAGTGGCTGATTTTCCAGAAAAACTGGCCAGTCTAGACACAGCCATTGTGAGCACAGCTACTTCTTCAGATGACTGGAGTGTTGCAAGTCAGTGTAAGTCAGTGCCAGGGACGCAAAAGATGAGACAAGTTCAGCAGAGTGAAGTGGGAGCATGTCCCCAGCCAACCCAC